CGTTCCCCCCCCCCCCAAATAAATTCGGCTTTAGCTCGGAACCCGCCCCCGAAAAAAAGCGTGCTCACCCTCTGGTAGGAAGTAATCTGGAAGCAGATAAGGTGCACCGGAAAAATGAGGAATTTTCTGCATTCCACATGTCAGCGCTAGCTGGATACCCTGAAAATCCAGAGGTAAAAATACTTGCGACACACCGAAAAACAAAACAGCCCGCGACCGCATCGGCAGATGAAATTAATTGCTCAGTAGTAGCTTTACACGGTGATACAGAACTAGTGCCTGTCTATCTCAGCAAGAAATGCTGCGTTGCTGCCCAAAATGAAAAAGCAGTGGAAGTACATTCACTTGAAGCTCCGGCGGAAACAACACCGGCTCTAGAAGAACCACGCATAGACTAGTCACAACTGAAGACATGCAGGTTGTTGTTGTTGTTGTCTTCACATTAAACCGTATGTCAGTTGCTAAACGCCAAAATCTAGCAAAAGACTCTCAGCCCGTGGTCACGAAAGTGCTAGAGCCATCTGAGGATCTAAAGAACACGCACACACATGACAAGAAAATGGTATCCAAGAGCCCGAAGAGGTACACCTAAAAATCCCTGCAGCACCGTATGCGTGCCCAAAAACTGAACTGCACGTCCGTCCCACCGTTGGACTACAGTAGCATCACCCCCTCCCTGTCCCACTCTATACCAAAACGGAAGATTGNACCCGAATCTCTCCCGATCGTCTGTGTAGGCACTGCAGTGAAAAATATCGACACTAGCTAAGAATCGTTCCACATTGAAGGGGTCTTCCACGATCAGGCACAAAACCAATGCACCCGGGTTAGCCACGCCATCTCTGACGGGTCTCTACAAAACCGGTGACGATGTCATCACACAAAACCAACACGGAAAGTCAGAAAAAAACAAAAAAAAATGACAACACAGATAGAAATAAATGTTTGTCCGTGCGCCACGGGTCGATGTCGCCCGCATGCTCCGGTGCCACTACAACCCATGTCTAAGCCAAAGCTTGTCGAGGAGCGAGGGGAAGAAGGGAGAGTACAGAATACCACCTTTCTTTCTTTTCGCCAGCCCAATGTGAAGAAGAAGTACTGCAATCAATTGTGTACGAAATACCGTTCAATTTTCTCAATAACGCCTGACGAAGTAGGTAGATGTACTTTTATTGCGGAAGCTGATTTTCCCCTCGAACCAGGTACAAAACCTGTAAATAGGGCTCCTTACCACGCAAACCCACGCGTGCAAGAGGTGTTCGACAAATGCGTTCACGAAATGGCACAAGCGGGAATTGTTGAACAACGACCAAGCCCGTGGGGATCAGCTGTAACGTTGGTAGAAAAAGCCGACGGCTCTCCCCGGGTCTGTGTAGACTACAGAGCCACGATTCGGAAATCATGGCCGATGCCGGAAATGGCTAGCCACATTGATACAGNTTACCACGCAAACCCACGCGTGCAAGAGGTGTTCGACAAATGCGTTCACGAAATGGCACAAGCGGGAATTGTTGAACAACGACCAAGCCCGTGGGGATCAGCTGTAACGTTGGTAGAAAAAGCCGACGGCTCTCCCCGGGTCTGTGTAGACTACAGAGCCACGATTCGGAAATCATGGCCGATGCCGGAAATGGCTAGCCACATTGATACAGTAGCAGATGCAAAATTCATTACTGTATGCGACGTACAAAGCGCGTACCACCAAATACCAATCGCCGAAGAAGAACAAGACGAAACGGCATTCGTAACACGAAATGGGAAATAGGTTTTCAAAAGACTTCCCTTCGAGATTGCTAACAACGCTCCCTTCCTGTTTCAACGTACAATGGCGTTGTTGGCGTTTGCACATTTTGGTCCCAAATCCGGGCTCCTGGTGTACATGGATGACTTAATCTGGTTCATCGACATGGGAGGGACACTTCAAACTGTTGGAAAACACGTTCCAAGCTTTGCAAGCAGCAGGGCTCACCTTGAAACCATCCAAAGTACAATTCGGACCACAAGAGGTGAAATACTTGGGACACATTCTCTCATCAGATGGAATCCGTCCTGGTGAGGATCGGATAAAAGCGATACTAGATAAACCAACGCCAACAAACATCAAAGAGCTACGATCAGTGCTGGGGACAGTCAACTATGTGCGAAAGTTGATTCCAAACTTGGCGACAGTCAACTCGCCCCTGGTTGACCTTACGAAAAAAGAGGCAATGAAGTCAGTGGCAAAACGTTGGGGACCGGAGCACGATTAAGCGTTTGCGGAAGTAAAGAAATTGCTCACCGCAGCTTCCGTGTTAAACTTTCCCGACTTTTCTTAAGAATTTGTAATTCATGTCGATGCTTCTAAGGTTGGTACAGGAGCATTCCTAGCCCAACAAGATGGTGACGACCTGAAGATCATAGCATACTTTAATCAGCGTTTCAACAAAAAAAGCCAACTGCACGACTCAGCAAGCATGAAATGTTACGGTGTTGTTTTAGAAACAATTCAGCATTGGCGCCCTTATCCGTGGGGCAGACATTTTACGTGCGCAACTGATCATCATGCCGCGTTGCGTTATCTCTACGCGATTCAAGAACGTCAAATTAAGCTCACACGCTGGGCGATAGCGCTGCAATCATTCGACTTCACGGTAAAACATAAACCAGGAAAGTTGCATGCAGTGCCTGACACGTTATCGCGTCTTTTTATGTTTGAAAAAGACCAAGAACGCGAAACACCAACTCTTGCTCCGATCTGCCGCAACGTACCGGAAAACCCGGAGTTGCAACTTGCCACGCCCAGCAGATAGATCTTACGACCTGTCTGTCACCAGACAAGCTTGATCGTGTACAACCTGTGACTAGCGACCGCGAGTTGTTTACTGTCAGTGCTTCGTTCGCGAGTGCGACAGAAGTGTTTGTATCTGTTGATCGTGACAAACTACGCGCGAAACAAGCCGAAGAATATGGCGNCTTGCCACGCCCAGCAGATAGATCTTACGACCTGTCTGTCACCAGACAAGCTTGATCGTGTACAACCTGTGACTAGCGACCGCGAGTTGTTTACTGTCAGTGCTTCGTTCGCGAGTGCGACAGAAGTGTTTGTATCTGTTGATCGTGACAAACTACGCGCGAAACAAGCCGAAGAATATGGCGAGTACATCGAATACATAACGAACAAAAAAGCACCGCTCCCTGAACACGAAACGGCAGCAACAATGTCGTGATTTCGGGTGGATGAGGTTGGGGTTTTGTTCGTTTTTCTCCATCTAAGGTTCGTGCCTAGAGTTCAGCTGGGGTGTTTCAACCAAAGTTTTGTTGACTTAGAGGCAAACATTCCTAGCTATTGGGCATCGACTTAATTTGGCTTGGCATGACGGCCTTTACGATCGACTTTTTATTTATGTCTGCATTCATCTACAATTGTCGGAGGGCAAACAAATTAAAAATAATGTCGTACTATTCCGTACCAAAGGGTCTCTTGTTCAAGTCGTATTTGCCAGGAGACCTTCGGAAAAGGAGTACATTTCGGGATCAGCTAGTGTTGCCACATGCATTAACGGGTTTGATGATGCATGCTTATCATGATCATGCCCTTTCGGGAGAATACCTCGCTTACCGACCAACGTACGAAAAAAATCGTCAAAAATAAAGGCAATTCAGTGTCAGAACTAGTGCACTCCACAATGCACGCAATGCTGGCGATGCACAGTTCTATGGAGCGAAATAACTAGGCGGGACTCTTCTTGCCGATGGTACAACGAGCGTACAACACATCGTTTGGTACAACCATGCATGAGACACCGTTTTTCTTGATGTTCGGTCGCCAACCACGTTTACCTGTAGATGTAATTCTTGGAATACCACGTGTCGGGGCAACCGCCGATACCGAGAGTTTTTCTCAAGAAACACGAGACAATCTGCAGATCGCGTTTGAACTCGCGCGTCGAAACCTGACGGAACGTGCTGAAAAACAAGCTGCGAAAAACAAAAGGTTGCCGCAGTATCCAGTGTTCAAACCTGGTCAACAAGTGCTAGTATACAAGCCATACCAGGACACTGACGGACCAAATCCGAAACTGCTTTTGCCATGGAGAGGACCATTTATCGTTTGCTCTCAACTGTCACCGGTTGTTTATCGTGTAAAGCGAAGGAATGATGTGTGGGAAGCATCCGTACACCTCGCCCATTTAAAGCAGTATCATGCACGGCAGAAACCTCCAGCACCACAGTTTGAAAAATCGGCTGAATTTTTCTTGGGGAAACAAATTCCTTGGCCGTCGCTGAAACAAACCGACGTGAATCAACCGAAAATTGACCGATACGTCGTTGACAAAGCGGTAGGCCATAAAACAGGCCCAGGGCCGAAAAAACAACACAACTACAAACATCGGCTGCGTTTACGAGGGTACGGCCCAGAGTCGGACCTAGTGCATCGAGCAGACGAAGTACCACAATGTCATGAAATGATTTCAGCGTACAGATCGAAACACGGTCTGAGCATCGCGCTTGCTGGAAAACAGTCACCTGAAAAGCAGATCCACAAACGGAAACGCGATGATAGTGACGAAAGCAAGAAACCGAGTACGAACAAATGCGCCAAGCAACAAAAGTCAAAAGCGGACTCGACATGTAGCAAACAGAGCGTGAAACCAAGTACTCAGCGGAAAAAAAGCAAAAGAGGACGAAAGAAAGGCCAAAAATAAATATGTATATAAAATGCACAACACACGGTGAAAGGAATAGCAACCATAAAAAAATTGGAAGCTATACCAGCGATTGTTTTGGGTCAACCACTGGGAAGAAAAGTCAAGTACACGATGATTCTAGATGCTGTTTGGGGTCACAACCAAATAATAGCATTGTTGATGAGTCGTAAAAATAACAGTCAAAACTGTTAACTAACGCACCGTGCGCCTGTTGAATTTGTCCAGCAATAAAAATTTGCAACACCCAAGCGGTATGTATGGTCAACGAGAGCCAAACACCGCAGCAACTCTAAACCTTGAAAGCAAGGGATTTGCAATTGTCTCAAAAAGACAATAATCTGCTCGTGAATGATAGGAGACACGATGACAATCACCGATCAAAGAGGTGTCGTCGTCGAGTTACTTACAACACAGTGACTCCGGAACAATCTATCACGTATGAGTCTCGGGTATGTGCGGATCCCCTCGTTATAACGTAATGCGTGTTTTCTCAACACAGCAGCGATGAGGAGGGGGAAACAATCAACGCAGTAGTAGTTTAGCAAGCTTACGAACGCATTTAGGATACCATGAGGATTGTCAATTGGTTTTAAGAAGAGGAAATATTTTACGTTTTAAGTGACAGTAGTAGAAATAAGTCCGACATATATGTTGTACTTTGTATGTATTGGTTTAGTATTCATGTAGAGTATGAGACATTGAGTGAAAGTTTTCTGACGTACATCTGCAATTGTCGGAAGGCAAACAAAAAAATAATAATAATCATACTCACGAGCTGTGTTATACAACTAGGAGTAACCTAAACCGAATTACACTTGCATTCCCTCGTTCCCTTGAGAATGAGCGCCAAAAACCATATTTCCACAAAGATGGATTTCGGCGAACAAAAAGGGGGGCAATGTGGAAACCAGGATATAGGTATCTTCCCAGTGGTATGGACGCACATACAACCGTGTAGATCCGGTGACCCCAGGAACGTTCTCGTGGTCTGAAGATCGTTACAACGAGAAGACCCTCCGTCTGCTGTGACCAGCCGGAGGGTAGAAGCGAGCCCAAAAAGCTCACTCTCACCTTCCACCCTAGCAAGGCTGACTAACGTCAGCCACGCTTGGCCATTCCTTGCCAAATTGCAATAAGAGCGATGAACGGTTATTCACCACTTCAGGGACCTTTACTCACAACAGAGTAGGCAAATAAAACAAAAACAGAGTAATGGTATTCTCATCAACGACACCACCATCCATATCCATAGTAGTATCCATTTAGCGCTCATACAACGTTCATGAAACGCTCGTACAATGCTCATACACTAGTTGCTCCATTACATTAGCCCACCCTGGGAAATGGAAGATGCAGATACTTTATCTTCAATCCAATACTCAACCTCAAATAAAGATCGAAGATGCGACTTTCCAAATCAGACAAAACAAGAAAAAATCAGGGTTCTGCACGGAGCGGTTTTTTTCCACGGAGCGGAGCGGTTTACACCGCTCCGCTCCGCTCCGTGGGATTTTCCCTACAGAAAAAACCGCTCCGCTCCGCTCCGTGACATGAACAAAAAAAAAACCGCTCCGCTCCGTGACAATTTTGCCCTCGGATAAACCGCTCCGCTCCGCTCCGTGGGGTTTCCCAAAAAACCGCACAAGCGGTTTTTTCACGGAGCGGTTTGAGCTACTCCGTCACACAAGCACGGATAAAACCGCAATGCAGTCACGGTTTTTCCCACGGAGTGACGGTTTTTCTCCCACGGAGTCGCGGTATTTTTCTGTTTTTCTGTTCTACTTTTACAGCAGCCACACAAATAACCGTGCCCACGCACACAGCAGCAGTCCGTGCCACACACACATACACTCCGCGCAACGCACTCCGTGCACATCAGTCCGTGTGCACGTCTGCCTGATGGAGTCGACACCCGACCCTGGCGACCGCCCTTCTGGCGACCGCTCTTCTGGTGCTGCTGGTGCTGGTGCTGGTGCTGGTGCTGGTGCTG